CTAAACGCAAATGCTTATAAACGCAGTTAGCCGCATTTACAAGCGTTTGGAATGCTGATAAAATCTACTCCTGAATGCAAGTTTGGTGCGTTCAAAAAAACGTCTGTAAACTCAACTGCCTGTAAACGACTATGTGTACATGGACACATAGGAAAACATTAGGGAGAGTACAGGGGCTGCTGAAAAACACGCAGAAAAGCTCCTGAACATGAGTTTATCAGCTGCAGTGTACATGAGCCCTTAAAGGGAATTATATCTGGAGAAACATGGATTGTAGACCGCCTTTGTGCTTACATGAAGAACAGTGTTTTCCAACCAGTGTTCACTGTGCTATGTGAAATTCATTCCTTTTTCTTTGATTTGTTACTATAACCATCCCTCCCAACTTTCTGAGATGTGATTGAGGGACACCTACTAACAAAAGTATGTAGGTGTGAGATGGGGAAACAGCTCTCATTGTTTGAACACTGTTTGTGTGCAGTAAATTATGGTGTGGAGTAAATTGATGTTTTGACTGACATTCTGCGGTTTAGCCACAAGATGTCGCTGTTTTTTCTAACACAGGCTCAGACTGCTAGATATTTGTATATTCATGAAGAGGTGGGGTTTTTAGTGAACAGAAAGAGGAGACTGCAGCCATGTTTTGGACGATGCTGAATGCAGGAGCCATGTTCTGGAGAATGCTGAATGAAGGGGCCTGGTGAGCTGCAGCTGGGTGAAGCTGATGAGATTGCTGCCAGGAAGCTGATGAGAGCCGAGGAACAACGCAGCATACACTACAATATCGCAGGCCTGTTGGAGAGACATTTGTTCTGTTCAGAGTCACCAGCAGATGCAAAGCAGACCCGGGTTGGTAAGTTCGTGCACGCACCTCATTTCAGTGTTGGCGCCTTTAGACTGAGTCCAGGCCTATAGTTAGTTAGTTAGGGTCTCTGTTTGTGTCAGGCCACAAGTGTTGTTACTGATCATTGGAAGGACTCCACAACTTAAAGTGACATTTCACATTGGAGAACTGATAAAATCCTACAAACTTAAGTCAGACTGGCGTTTTGCTCAGAAGGAATACTCAGGTACGTGCTACAGGACCAGTTATGGGAGGGGGAATACTGTAGATTTGTGTAAAATTGTAAGCTGTCGTGCTGCACCGCAGGCTAGCCCATACCGTACACCCATACACTGATTCTTGCTCTTTTAGGGTAATAACAGGTAAGGTGTGGCAGCTTAGTTGTGCCCGCCAGTAGGTAAATTACTTCACTTTCTACCTTCATCCATCAGAAGGCGCCGTGCTGTGCAGCACAAGGGTCTCAGCCTTTGGGCTGGGTGTATGTAAATTTATTGTATGTTTCTAGCATTTGTGGTTGTGTTTATTTGTCACATCTAAGTAAAATTCTGTTGTGGCAAAAGCTGGCGTTGAGGTTGCTTTCCTCGTTCGTGACTTTACTGTATCCTGGGGAGCCCACCCCGGTACACGGCTTACATAGGCATAGGATACCCCCCCCCCCCCCCTTAAAGGAGAATTTTCCAAAATAAATGTTAGGTTAAACCGACAAGAGCATTTTTACCACTACTATTCCTTTTATATTGGCTTTTGAAGTTTACAAATGCAACAATTTAGAAACGGGATGAAAGGTTGAGCACTGGGAAATACTTTTTGATAGCCAAGTAGCTCATTTTTATATACAACTATATAGATAGATCAGACCAAAATGAGGTGAAAGGAGGGACTATGGCAGCACCCCTTTAAACTATAACACTTCTAGCAGTCTGTGTTTGTAAAAGCAAGGTTTTCAGCTCATCTTCCCCTCCCTTATTTCCTGTGAATAATGTGTACCAGCTCTTCACTGGGATCCTTATCTGTAGCTGCTGCCCAAGGTTATTCTGTAGAGTTTAAGAAGACTTTTGAGTGTATAGCAGTGGAAGAAGGAATGTATGTATTGTTACGTAATCGTTGTGATATACGCTTGTAAGAAGTTTTCTATAACTCACTCAGCTGTGCAGGCTTGTGCCCGGCTGTGTGAAAACAGAGCTGTTTTTAATAAATCATTTGTTTTCCTCAAGTCTGTGTTCAGAGTTCTCTGGTTTGCCAAAATCGCTAATACAGGACAGGGGACTTTGTTCCGAATGAGGGACAGTCCCTCGAAATCATGGAGGACAGTTGGGAGCTGTGCTATAACTTCAACCTACCTCATGCTACTTTACCCGTAGATGTAGGTAATACGTTTTAGCAGGAGTTCCTCAAGAAGAACACCAAGAATTGCAGAACTTTAACAAAATGCTGGTTTATATGGCGTTAAAGCAGCATTTCAGTTGAATAAAAAAAATAATAAAAGTCAGCAGCTACAAAAACTGTGGCTGCTAACTTTTAAAATACAGATACAGCTGGTTTCACCGGCCGTCTTCTCTCCCTGGCGCTGACACCTTCAGTGTGGGCACCTGGCGGTGACAGCTTGCAGCTTCACAGCCGGGTGCCCACTGCACATGCGCGAGTAGCACTGAGCTTCGTGAACGGTCCCGTAGTCTTCTGAGACCTGTCACATGTCCCAAAATACTACAGGGAGGGAGAGGGGGAGGACAACTTCCGCTTCCAATCGCCTTAGGCAATCACACCGGAAGTGGGTACCTGTCAAATTTAGGTACCCACTCCCCTCACCCTGCTCCCCAAAGGTGCCAATCATTAAAGTGATACCAAACCCAGGACCCTGCATTCACTCTATCTGGTCTACCACAGTACACAGAACATGGAAATGCAATTATTTTAATAGATATAAACTGCTAAATACCTTTTTCTCATCATTAGTATATAGCTGTCTTGTGGCTTCAGCAGAGCACTGGTTAAAGCTTGTAGGAGGAGTTTTCGTTCTGCTCTAGGAGGATGTGAAACCTCTGACTCTCTCTCTGGACAGTGCTGATTGGCCCTGTGCTGATCACATGCACCCTCCCAAGAAAAAGAAAAAAAAAAAAACCTCTCTAGCAGTACACACCAAACTGTGCATGTAACCATAGGTTCAATCTGTATCAGGTGGAAATTTCAACAAGAGGAGGGAAAGAGAAGAAAGGATCAACAGCATTTTTACACAATGCAGAGGATTAACCTCTTAGGTTCCACAGTGAGTAGAACAAGCATGCTTTACTTCATATACAGACTAATTTTTACTGTTGTGGGTTTAGTAACACTTTAATGGGGAGTGGGGGACAACGGTTTAAAGCAAAACTTCCCATTTTGGGTGGATCTCCGCTTTAAGGCCTGGTTTTTCACCAATGCAGTTTGCATTTTGCAGTGCATTTTGTGGTTTGTTATTTCACGTGCCTTTTGATGCTTTTTTTTTATGCGTTTTTGTGGGCCAACTTACATGCTGGGCAGATTAAAAACGCAAAACACATAAAAAATGTACTACATGCGTTTTCTGCAGCATCTCCATTGAAGTTGATTAAACTGAAAAGGAAAATTGTAAAAGCTGTAGTGTGTTTCTGTAAAAAGCACTAAAAAACGCATTGGTGTGAACCAGGCCTAAGTCCAACAAGGTGTATGCCACCTTCAGTACTCATTTTATTATTATTATTGTTATACAGGATTTATATAGCACCAACAGTTTGCTCAGCGCCAGGGGCGGACTGACCATTTAGTCACTCGGGCACTGCCTGAGGGCCCGGGGTCAGTAGGGGGCCCCATGAGATGTCCCTGGTACCTTTCATAGGCATTTTTGGGTGTGGTGTGAGTGTGGGAGAGGACACAGGGGCCCCATTATTTCCTATTGCCCGGGGGCCCCATGAGTTGTGAGTCCGCCCCTGCTCAGCGCTTTACAATATAAAAGGGAGACAATACAGCAACAATACATTTCAATATAAGAGGGTTCGGAGGGCCCTGCTCCTTGGAGCTTACAATCTAAGAGGGAGGGGCTGGTGGTACAAAAGGTAATAACTGTGGGGGATGGGCTGGTAGGAGGAATAGAAGATTCTGTTATTAGCTGAAGGCAGGATAGGCTTCCCTGAAGAGATAGGTTTTCAGAGATCGCCTAAAACTGGGCAGAGTAGGCGATAGTCTGATAGATTGGGGTAGAGAGTTCCAGAGGATGGTGGACGCTCTGGAGAAGTCCTGGAGATGAGCATGGGAGGAGGAGACAAGGGAGCTAGAGAGCAGGAGGTCATGCAAGGTTATTTACTAGCTACATTTTTACTGAATGCTGGGGAAACGCTATCACTATACTCCTTTATACTATACTGATGCACTGACAGAAAAGAAGTGCTCTACTACACAGTATGCACTCTGCCTGCCCCTTCCGCTCCGCTGTCCATTCACAGAATGGGCTCACATAATACATAGCCTCCTGTAACTCGGCAAAAGGAAAGGAGGAGCGGGCAGATCGGCTGTGAATGATTGCAGCTGCAGGATCGGACACCTGGCATTTCAGTGTTGGAGCTCCAGAAATATCACAATAGCTGTACTCCTGGGACTCAGTAAAAATGTAAATAGTAAATAAAAGAGATTCCATGAGGTGTGTTACACCTCATTGGACTTAACCCCTTACATGCCAGAACAAGTGCTGCAATTCCTGGAGTTCCTCTTTGAAAATGATTTCTGTCATTGGTCTAGGGCTAAAAGGTCATGAAAGGCCGATGCAGAGATGAGATGAGTTCAGGTTTTGCAGCAAAGTCACATGCCGCATACTTTTTCTAGCCAATTTAGATTAGTCCATAATTCTGTCAGCCTAGGCTTCCCTTAAAGTGAACTTGTACTTTGCTCATACAGTGCAAAACAACAGGTTCACTTTAATTCTGGCCGCTTCCCTTTGCTGTCCCAGTACTCTGGCTTCTGATAACTAAAAAAGTAAGCCGGTGTAAGTTCCAAGTTACGACTTGTAGCAGAGCTGAGAATTTTCGCTATCCCCTCATGGAACATTGCTATTTGGTTGAGCAAACAATCAGCAAGCAGGGATGAAGTTCTGACAAGGCACCACTCAGGATTGGGTTATGATAGAACCAGGGGCGGACTGACAACTCATGGGCCCCCGGGCAATAAGGATCATGGGGCTCCTGTGTCCTTGCCCAAACTCAAAAAAGCCTATGAAAAAGGTACCAAGGGCATCTCATGGGGCCCCCTACTGACCCTGGGCCCTCGGGCAGTGCCTGAGTTTCCAAATGGTCAGTCCGCCCCTGGATAGAACAATCCTGATAGAATAATCCAAGTACCCTTCAATAACAAGTAAAAAAAATGGAAATATTATGTATATTACTTGCGATATATAGACAAAAATGTCACACTGTTCCTCTAAAAATCAATAAATCAAATATGCACAAAGAATGCTAATCTAAAAAAAACATTAGTGCACAAATGCTTGCAACCAATTGTGACAATCATACAACATATGAAAAATATAAGTCCATTCTACCCAGAATACTTTGATCTGTGATGCCAGATACTTATTACCATGTAAGTGTCCATACAATGTGATCAGTCCTCCAAACACAACATAAACATGCTTGAATAAGTGCTCCAAATCCCAGTGCTGCAAATATCCACCTCTAAGTGCAGTGCTTGCTCATCTAAAAAAAAAAATAAATCGGTCATACAGCGCTTAGGTGAATATCGTTCTGTGGATCATCCTCTGGCTCTTTGCAGCCACTTCCACATGTGGCCCCTTTAACCACTTGCCCACTGGCCATTTTTAACCCCTTCCTGCCCAGGCCATTATTCAGCTTTCAGTGCTGATGTACTATGAATGACAGTTGCGCGGTCATGCAACACTGTACCCATATGAAATTATCATAATTTTTTTCAGAAATACAGTGAGGAACAGAAGTATTTGAACACCCTGTGATTTTGCAAGTTCTCCCACTTAGAAATCATGGAGGGGGGTCTGAAATTCACATTGTAGGTGCATTCCCACTCTGAGAGACAGAATTAAAAAAACAATTCAGGAAATCACATTGTATGATTTCTAAAGAATTTATTTGTCTTGCACTGCTGAACATAAGTATTTGAACACCTGAGAAAATCAGTGTTAATATTTGGTACAGAAGCCTTTGTTGAAAAGGCTGGAAAGGGCTACGGGCAATTGGCAAGGAGCTTGGTGAAAATAGATCAACTGTTGGAACAATTGTTAGAAAATGGAAGAGGCTAAAGACGACTGTCAGTCTCCCTCGGACTGGAGCTCCATGCAAGATCTCACCTCATGGGGTATCACTGATGATAAGAAAGGTGAGGAATCAGCCCAGAACTACAAGGGAGGAGCTGGTCAATGACATGAAGAGAGCTAGGACCACAGTTTCAAAGGTCACTGTCGGTAGAACGATACGCCGTCATGGCTTCAAATCATGCATTGCACGGAAGGTTCCCCTGCTCAAGTCATCACATGTCCAGGCCCGTCTGAAGTTTGCCAATGACCATCTGGATGATCCAGAGGAGGCATGGGAGAAAGTCGTGTGGTCAGATGAGACCAAAGTAGAACTTTTTGGTCTAAACTTCACTTGTCGTGTTTGGAGGAACAAGAAGGATGAGTTGCATCCCAAGAACACCATCCCTACTGTGAAGCATGGGGGTGGTAACATCATGCTTGGGGGTGCTTTTCTGCGAAGGGGACAGGACGACTGCACTGTATTAAGTAGAGGATGAATGGGGCCATTTATTGTGAGATTTTGAGAAACAACCTCCTTCCCTCAGTCAGAGCATTGAAGATGGGTCGTGGCTGGGTCTTCCAACATGACAACGACCCGAAGCACACAGCCAGGATAACCAAGGAGTGGCTCCGTAAGAAGCATATAAAGGTTCTGGAGTGGCCTAGCCAGTCTCCAGACCTAAATCCAATAGAACATCTTTGGAGGGAGCTGAAACTCCATGTTGCTCAGCGACAGCCCCGAAACCTGACAGATCTAGAGGAGATCTGTGTGGAGGAGTGGGCCAAAATCCCTGTTGCAGTGTGTGCAAACCTGGTCAAGAACTACAGGAAACGTTTTACCTCTGTAATTGCAAACAAAGGCTTCTGTACCAAATATTAATACTGATTTTCTCAGGTGTTCAAATACTTATGTTCAGCAGTGCAAGACAAATTCTTTAAAAATCATACAATGTGATTTCCTGAATTTTTTTAAATTCTGTCTCTTAGAGTGGGAATGCACCTACAATGTGAATTTCAGACCCCTCCACGATTTGTGGGAGAATGTGCAAAATCGCAGGGTGTTCAAATACTTCTGTTCCTCACTGTATAGCTTTCTTTTGGTGGTGTTTAATCACCATTGGGGTTTTTATTTTTTGCACTATAAATGAAAAAAGACCGAAAACTTTGAGAAGTTTTTTTCTTTGTTTCTTTTAAACATTTTGCAAACAGGTACTTTTTCTCCACTGATGTGCGTTGATGAGGCGGCACTGATAGGCAGCACTGATGGGCACTGATAGGCTACACTGATGAGGCGGCACTGGTAGGCATTGATGAGGAGGCACTGATGAGGCAGCACTGATGGACACTGATAGGCAGCAATGACGGGCACTGATAGGTGGCACTGATGGGCATTAATAGACAGCACTGAAGGGCAGTGACTGGCAGCACTGACCAGCAGCACAAACTGATGGCACTGACTGGCAACACTGACTGGCGGCACAGAGTCCCTTACCGAGGGACAGGTAGTGGCTGTTTTTTAAAAATCAGCAGCTACAGTTTTTGTAGCTGCTGACTTTTATTTTTTGACAGGGTGAGTAGAACTCCACTTTAATGTTAATGCTATGTTAGCAGTGTTTAGGGGATAGATAAAAAAAGAGAAATAGAAAAGCCAAAATACTTGCTACTTCTGACTTATTGTAGAGCTAGCCATTTGTTTGAAGGGCAAAGCACTTGGTCATATAATCTCTCAAGGCTGCTCATTCACTCCTTCAGCAGCATTGAAGAGAGCTTCAGGCAGCATCTTCTCCAGAAAAACTTACTAGCCCTTCCATTAGGGCCTAGTCATACCCAGACAGATACAGATTTGAGTGTGCCATTATGACCTATTCACACCTGTCTGTTTTCGTGCAGCGATATGCATGCATTTCAAGTAGAATTCCCATTATTTTCTAGGGGCTGGTTCACATCTATGCAATGCAATTTTGGGGTCAAAGGGAAACTTTATGGTCTTATTCAGTTATAAATTTGTGTTTCCACACTTACTGCAAGACATGCGGAACAACGTGAATCCAGTTTTCCTTCAGAAAATATAACTTAGATGTGAACGTGCCACATTGAAAAGTATGGGGTTTCTATTTGACATTAATTTTAATAAAGCTGCATTCATGTGTTTTACAGCAGAATCATTTCAATTCGGCCTGTGCTGTTTGTAACCATCCCATCACGATGTTACCATTCATTTTTGCAATATTTGAGAATACCGTAAAAGTTGTTTATGAAGGATCATAGAAGTCATGGGCAGACTTTACTCCTTTTGTTGTATATTTTAATAGGGGGTAAGCTAATATAATTGATTTTGATTTTACACTAGAATAAACTAATGAGTTTGTTTTTCTCATCTCTACTTTTCCATATGCGGTGGATACAAGCAGTCATCTATTACAATTAGGTTGTTTAGTATTAAGGATTGCAAATTAATCTGTCACTTGGAATTGTGCCACTGATCTTGGAAAATTGTCATGTAAATATAAACTGAAGATGTTTAAGGAGATAAATTATCTATTGTGTCAACCCTCCTGCTGTCAAAACTTAATCACTCCATATATTTCAGCATTTATGAAAAAGGAAAAAAAAAAAACAATAAACAATCAATCTTACATACCAGGCTCTGTCCTTTTATTTTCATATTATACTTGAACTTAGTATACTAATGATACCCATGCAGTAACTGTAAATAGTGAAGCGCTATAAATCCTATCTAATAAATACAGATAAATATTATATATTACTAGCCGTGCACACACAATAGTGCTCAGTGACAAATAATTACAAACAAATAAATATCTCTTTCCACAAGTATAAGTGAAACATGACCTTGAATATATGACAAACTACAGATAATTGTGAAGTGATTCTTTAAGAAGAAAAATTCCCATGCTATTTATCAATATCTCTACAAAACACACTGTGTATATACAAACGTCAAACCAATCAAATTATATATGTGTTAATTGAGAACATAAAGTCCATGCAAGTGAATCTGTGCTGATATGATCTTCACTCCAGTGAAAAATGAACAGAAATCCTCAAATGGCAGAAATGCCTGCTCACCTCCACACATTGACCCACACAGGGCCACAGGGCTATAATAAACAGTAACAGATCCTCTCCACTCCCCTCCTCATCATAGGGACCATGGGATAGGAAAAAGACCTCTGCTCAGCGCACCTTATTCACTCCTCCTCCACTCAAGGTAACATATATAGGGTATAAAGCAAGAAACCTTCCATGGTGCAGTATCTTTTTATTTAAATTGCAGATAAAAGTTGGTAAAGCACATGTATCCCCAGTAACAATTGCCTTTAACCACATACTATGGGTGTACTGCATGGTATACTGGGTGTAGCAAGATGGCCGCTGCCGGAAGTGCGTCACCACGTACCGGAAATGATGTACCGACGCGTTGCGTCAGGTGACTCGTGACTTCATCAGGGTTAACACCCACTGCTACCATGATGCTTATATATAGGAGCTCTCAGGGGATGTTCTAATGAAGGGGCGGTCTCTCGGTGGCCATTTTACGTGAACCCGTCATCCACATCATGAAAGGAATATCATACAATCCCCTGAATAATCTTACACAAGAAAAAAGTATGTGGCTCCAAAGTTGGCACATAAAAATACATGGACACACTGAATGCTATATAATGAGTGACATACCAATTGAATTATTATTTCCAAACATCCTTATACTTGTCTATATTGCTGGAAACTTCAAATTGCACAAAATTAACAGTCTAAAATAAACTTTATTAATATATAAATAATTAAAAATTAATGAGGAATACATAACTAGGGACCAGATAAAATACTTACAAATGTATTATAAGAGTAGGATTATATAAATACCTTCAGGATTACCATATGACTAGATGTAAATTTATAAATAAATATGTATTATAATAAAATAATAACATTTATAATATAAATATTAAACGATAACCTAAAACTGAAATTTAAAAAGGACAATAATTGAATAAATAAATAATGCCATGCACTTACACCTATAGCTTGGGTTCACATATAAATTAATAAATATAACAAATCAATGTGTATATATATATATACCTATATTAGAAATACAGGGTAAACAATATATATAATGTAAGTTACACATTATATGGTGATAAAAACCTAAAAGCATAAAAATATGAACCCATAGTGCCTATAAATTAAAAATCACTAATAAAACAATTAAGGTCAAACTCTACATTGAGGCCATGGGGTTTCTGGGTGTGCATAATGTATATCCTCCTTGATTCTAATTTGCTGAGGGATCTTATTAGGTTACTACCTCTCCAGTGTTTAACATATTTTTCTATGCCCCAAAATTTAAGACCAGAAGGGTCTTCTTTATTGTGTTTTTTTTTAAATGTTTGGAAACACTGTATTTCGGGAATCCTTTCTTTATATTTTGGACATGTTTCCCTTATGCGTTTCCACAGGGGCCTTTTGGTCCTTCCTACGTATTGGAGTCCACACTCGCATTCCAGACCGTAAACAACCCCTTCAGTATGACACAATATAAAATCTCTTATTGTAAATTCTGTATCGTCATAATTAGCCTTAAATGTCTTCCGTTTTCGGTTATTACCTTTAGTTTCTCTACATGCATAACAATGTTTGCATGGGAAAAAAACCTTTCTGGTCAAGAAAGGTAATTTTATTTGTCCTACCCGGTGGGTCCAATACATTTTTCACCAGCTTCATCCTCATGGATGCCTTTCTATAAATAAATTTTGGATGGTTCGTCAGTACCTTATTTAGAATTGGGTCGGCTTTAAGGATGGGCCAGTTTTTAATAAAAATTTTCTCAACTTTTTTTTATAATGAATGTTATAATCCAAAATAATGGCCATTTGGCTATCAAATGTATTATTTTGACATCTATCAACTATCAGTGACTTCCTCTCTAATTTATCAACTTCTATAATTCTTTTCTCAATATCATGTTTAGAATACCCCTTTTTTATAAATTTATTCCCAATGAACTCTGCTTGTTTCCTCTAATCCTCTTTATTGGAACAATTCTTCTTCACTCTAACCAGTTGTCCCTTCGGTATATTAAATATCCAAGGGGGAAAATGACAGCTGTCTGCTGGTATAAATCCATTCCTGTCAACTTCTTTAAAATAAGTCTTAGTAATAATCATCCTTCGTTGGTTAATAATACTAAGATCTAAGAAGTTGACTTGTTCATTATCATAAGTCCATGAAAGATGGATATTGCGGGAATTATTGTTCAATCCACTAAGGAAATCCAGTAAGGATTCACTACTCCCCTTCCATAAGATGATTACATCATCAATATATATTTTATACATTACAAGTTCATCCGGGGGGTGTTGATAGATTGCCTCTTCTTCCCAATGGGCAATATACAAATTATCAATACTGGGGGCAAAAGTATTTTTTAATATTTAATTTGCCTTTGATTTGTTGAAAGAAAACTTTATCATACCAAACATAATTATGCAGGAGACAAAATTCCAAGCACTTCAATAAATACTTTCTTTGGGACCAAGATAGGTCACTATACTCTCTAAGGCCCCACGCTACTGCTTCCATAGCCCCTTTATGATCAATAATTGTGTATAGGGAGGATACATCAGCAGTGGTTAAAAACATTTCTGGGTTAGCATCAATTGTATCCAACAATTGTATTAAATGCTTAGTGTCTCTTAGATAAGCTTTAGTTTGCTTAACTATTGGTTGTAGAAAAAAAATCTACATATTGCCCCAATCTCGCTAGGACTGACTGGATCCCATTCACAATTGGTCTCCCTGGGGGTTCTTCTAAATTTTTATGTATTTTTGGCACTGTGTAAATTACAGGTATCCGGCAAGTTTCAGGAACCAGATACTTTGCCTCTTTCTTATTAAGGAATTTTTTATCTTCCCCTTTCTGGACCAACTTAGTTAATTGTTTTTTTGTATAATAATGTCGGGTCTTTCAGAATAACTCTGTAGGTGGTGGTGTCTGATAATTGTTTCTCTAATTCTTTTGAATAATACTCTGTGGATAAAATCACAATACCACCACCCTTATTAGCAGGTCTAATGACAATATTATCTCTTTTGGTGAGTCTTTTGATACCGGTTTGAACTCCAATATTGGTTAAAACCTTGGGAATCTTTAATTATTCCAAATCCTGATTTACCATACGTTTAAAAACCTCAATGTGATTATTGTTCGACAACTGTGGATTAAAAAGTGATTTATTTTTAAAATGACTATGTACAATATGATCGCTAAAACCATTGGCTATATTAGTTTTAGCCCCTGGTAATCCTAAAAAGTATTTTTTAATATTTAATTTGCGGATGAATTTTTGAGCATCAATATAAATGTCAAACTTATTGGCCGCCTTAGGTGGCGCATATTTAAGACCTTTGTCTAGTGCCATAATTTCTTCTTTGGTTAAATCACATCTGCTAAAATTAAAAACTTCTTCTCCTAATGTTCTCTTTTTCTTTTGTTGTTTCCTCCCGGCCCTGCACCCCCTCCTCTTAGTGGACTTTTCCACCTTACTCCCTCTCGGCTCCTGTCTCTGTCTAAAAAATCTCTCTGGGGTGAATCATACCTCAATGGTTCATATTTATTATATGATTCTACAGGACTCCTTCCTTCTCCATATTGTGGATACCAATTATCTTGTGGATATTGTCTCAGGCTTCTTTCTTGGTAATAATTGTATGCAGGTCTATAATAATCTGGTCTAGGTGGACCATAATTATTTGGTCTGTGGTAGTTACTGGGTCTAACCCATTGTGGGTTAGATCTCCATCCGTTCCCACCTCCTTTTCCTTTATTCTTTTTATGATAAGGACTTCCATTTTTTGGTTTCCAACCATTGTAGGGAGTATGGTAAGATGGACCATTAGGATAGTATTGATGTCCTCTCTTCTCTTGGGTGTTTCTAAATGTACCTTTAGATGGCATTAGGGGACATCTCGATGTCCAACTTTACTTCCTTAATGGGGGTGGTATTATTAGATACTATTTCCGTTTCTGAAGGGGAATTCTGCCATTTGAACACTTACTCCTTTTTAAAATCATTAAGGTCCCTTTGGTATTTTTTACTTTTTCTATATTTGATTTCTTGATCCAATTTTTCTAGATCTTTATTTAACCTTTTATTGTATGCTCCTATATCTGTGGAATCTTTAATAGGCTCTATCTTAGTCTTAATTTTCTCCTATTTGGGATTCTAAACTCCTCATTTACCTTTCTTTCCTTTTCAATAGGAATCTGACTAATTCAAGCCCTTTCTCATGGAAAAAGTCAAACCACTCTTCAGTTGCTTTGGCGTCTACCAATCCATCACAGGTGGGTATGTCCCATCTAAACCTTCTGGGGACTAATCTGTCCTTAAGATATTTGTCATAGGTGGTCATATCCCACCATGTGGCTAGCTTTTTCTCCATCAAATGCCCCAATTTCCTATATAACGTATCTAAATCAGTATTGGGGGTGTTGTTAGTTTTATTGAAAATATCCTCTATATTGATAGACCTATTTTCCACAAACTGGAAAACCTCCATATTAGCTGCAAGTGGGAATTGTGGTAGGTGCTAGAAATAACAGTAAGTATCCTCTTGCGCTTAATGCGGCAGTTGCAAACCTAACTATAGCTGCTGCCACTTAATTTAAAACCAATAAGTGATGATATAAAGTAACTGTAAATAGTGAAGCGCTATAAATCCTATCTATTAAATACAGATAAATATTATATATTACTAGCCGTGCACACACAATAGTGCTCAGTGACAAATAATTACAAACAAATAAATATCTCTTTTCACAAGTATAAGTGAAACATGACCTTGAATATGTGACAAACTACAGATAATTGTGAAGTGATTCTTTAAGAAGAAAAAATTCCCGTGCTATTTATCAATATCTCTAAAAACACACTGTGTATATACAAACGTCAAACCAATCAAATTATATATGTGTTAATTGAGAACATAAAGTCCATGCAAGTGAATCTGTTCTGATGTAATCTTCACTCCAGTGAAAAATGAACAGAAATCCTCAAATGGCAGCAATGCCTGCTCACCTCCACCCATGCAGTGCAACCATTCTCCATATACCATAGTACAGTCATATTGAAACAGCACCTAATGGGCACACACATAACCCACGCACATAACAGAGTGAATTGAAAAGAATGCTTTCCAGGCAGGGGCGGACTGACAACTCATGGGGCCCCTGGGCTATTGGGGATCATGGGGCCCTTGTGTCCTCGCCCAAACTCAAAAAAGCCTATGAAAAAGGTACCAGGAGCATCTCATGGGGCCCCCTACTGACCCCGGGCCCTCGGGCACTGCCCGAGTTTCCAAATGGTCAGTCTGCCCCTGTTTCCAGGTTAATATTTTGAAAGGGAATTTAATGGTTTTGTATATTTTTTTAAACTTTATATACCGTATGTATATTTTTTGTCATATAAATATGAAATATTGCCCATACATGTTCTGCATTTTAATTTTCACCTTGACGGCAGAGATCCAGGCTCATTTTTCACCTTTTCTATGTTATCCTTATCTGTTGTGGACTTAATACTAGAAATGGTTAAAGGCTACAGACATGAGACAGGAGATGGTTAGAGGCTGCAGAGAGGATACAGGAGATGGTTACAGGCTACAGAGAGGATACAGGAGATGGTTACAGGCTGCAGAGACAATACAGGAAATGGTTGCAGAAGCTGCACAGAAGGTGCAGGAGATGGTTAGGGGCTACAGAGAGGATAGAGGAGATGGTTAGAGGCTGTGGAGATGATGCAGGAGATGGTAAGAGGCTGCAGAGAGGATACAGAAGAGGTAAGAAGTTGCGAAGAGGATACAGAAGATGGTAAGAGGTTGCAGAGAGGATTTAGGAAATGGGAGTCTGCGAAAAGGATACAGGAGAGGGTTAGAGGCTGCGGAGAGGATACAGGAGATGGTTAGAGGCTGCGGAGAAGATGCAGGAGATCGTAAGAGGCTATGGAGAGATACAGGAGATGGTTTGAGGCTGCGGAAAGGATGCAGGAGATGGTTAGAGGCTGTGGAGAGGATACAGGAGATGGTTAGAGGCTACGGAGAGGATACAGGAGATGGTTAGAGGCTGCGGAGAGGATTTAGGAGATGGTTAGAGGCTGCGGAGAAGATTTAGGAGATCGTAAGAGGCTATGGAGAGATACAGGAGATGGTTTGCGGGTGCGGAAAGGATGCAGGAGATGGTTAGAGGCAGCAGAGAGGATTCAGGAGATGGTTAGAGGCTGTGGAGAGGATACAGGAGATGGTTAGAGGCAGCAGAGAGGATACAGGAGATGGTTAGAGGCTGCAGAGAGGATTCAGGAAGATGGTTGAAGTCTGCGGAAAGGATACAGGAGAGGGTTAGAGGCTGTGGAGAGGATAGAGGAGATGGTTAGAGGCTGCGGAGAGGATACAGGAGATGGTTAGAGGCTGAGGAGAAGATGCAGGAGATCATAAGAGGCTGAGGAGAGGATACAAGAGATAGACTGAGGCTGCGGAGAGAATGCAGGAGATAGTCAGAGGCTGCGGAGAGGATACAGGAGATGGTTAGAGGCTACGGAGAGGATACAGGAGATGGTTAGAGGCTGCGGAGAGGATTCAGGAGATGGTTAGAGGCTGCAGAGAAGATGCAGGAGATCGTAAGAGGCTATGGAGAGATACAGGAGATGGTTTGAGGCTGCGGAAAGGATGCAGGAGATGGTTAGAGGCTGTGGAGAGGATACAGGAGATGGTTAGAGGCTACGGAGAGGATACAGGAGATGGTTAGAGGCTGCGGAGAGGATTTAGGAGATGGTTAGAGGCTGCAGAGAAGATTTAGGAGATCGTAAGAGGCTATGGAGAGATACAGGAGATGGTTTGCGGTGCGGAAAGGATGCAGGAGATGGTTAGAGGCAGCAGAGAGGATTCAGGAGATGGTTAGAGGCTGCAGAGAGGATTCAGAAGATGGTTGAAGTCTGCGGAAAGGATACAGGAGAGGGTTAGAGGCTGTGGAGAGGATAGAGGAGATGGTTAGAGGCTGCGGAGAGGATACAGGAGATGGTTAGAGGCTGAGGAGAAGATGCAGGAGATCATAAGAGGCTGAGGAGAGGATACAAGAGATAGACTGAGGCTGCGGAGAGGATGCAGGAGATAGTCAGAGGCTGCGGAGAGGATACAGGAGATGGTTAGAGGCTACGGAGAGGATACAGGAGATGGTTAGAGGCTGCAGAGAAGATGCAGAAGATCGTAAGAGGCTGTGGAGAGGATACAGGAGATGGTTAGAGGCTGCGGAGAGGATTCATTAGATGGTTAGAGGCTGCAGAGAAGATGCAGGAGATCCTAAGAGGCTATGGAGAGATACAGGAGATGGTTTAAGCCTGCGGGAAGGATGCAGGAGATGGTTAGAGGCTGCTGAGAGGATAAAGGAGATGGTTAGAGGCTGCGGAGAAGATACAGGAGATCGTAAGAGGCTGTGGAGAGGATACAGGAGATGGGTTGAGGCTGCGGAAAGGATGCAGGAGATGGTTAGAGGCTGCGGAGAGGATACAGGAGATGGTTAGAGGCTGCAGAGAGGATTCAGGAGATGGTTAGGGGCTGCGGAGAAGATGCAGGAGATCATAAGAGGCTGTGGAGAGGATACAGGAGATGGTTTGAGGCTGCGAAAAAGATGCAGGAGATGGTTAAAAACTGTGGAGAGGATACAGGAGGCAGTGAGTACTCATTCAGAGTGGTCCTGGTTCCAGACTCGAAGAGCAGACAGTCCTCTCTGTATCAGGACTCCAGCAGCACACTGTAGGGATCATGGAGCCCTTTGCTCAGAGACTCACTTGCTGTTGTTTGATTGGTTTGTGACAATTTGATGTGGCAGTGGGTGATTGGTTAGAGGGGCATTTAAACATGGGCTGGTGTTCTGTATTTGTACTTGTTTGGCTTGAAAAAAAGAGTTGTTGAAGCATCACCATTTTGTTTAGATTTTACAATGTGCTACTACTATTTCATGAGAAAAAAAAACTATTTTTATTGAATACACTTTTTGAAGTCCTGGGTGTTGAACACCTTTTTGTGCAGCAAATAAGTTAACATTTTAGACAAAAATCAAAACACTATGGGGTTGATTTACTAAAACTGGAGAGTGCAAAATCTGGTGCAGCTGTGCATGGTAGCCAACTACTAAAATCAGCTGATTTCAAGTGGTTATAAAGGCTGATAGTTTTTTTTCCCTTCATGCATTCTATGCAAAAGTCTGAACCATTAGTACCACTTTATTTGGGACCCACTCACTTCACATGCATGCAACAACACATTATCATTTTATGTGTCAAACTTTGAGCTGATTTATGGAAGGTTTTGTAAAGAAAGGTCCAGCCGTTACATAACTAAAAGCCACATAGCAGGGGCAGACTGACAACTCATGGGGCCCCCGGGCAATAGGGGATCATGGGGCCCCTGTGTCCTCGCCCACACTCAAATCACACCCAAATAAGCCTATGAAAGGTACCAGGGGCATCTCTCATGGGGCCACCTACTGACCCCGGGCCCTCGGGCAGTGCCCGAGTTCCCGAATGGTCAGTCCTCCCCTGCTATATAGGTATACAGTAAGATATAAGACAGATTTATTTAGTTATTCTAACAGAATATACTATTGTTGGATATTGTGAGTGAAATAGAAAAAGAAGGAAAGGCTATAATTGGTTGATAGAGCAGTCAAACTTTTAATTCCATTATTTGTCAAAATAGCAAAACAAAACACAAAATAGTGATTTTGATTAATTGCAAGGATAAGGGATCAGATCTGTCCTTATCAAATGCAGCAGAAAAATCCAGTCACTGTCAAAGACATTGCTGTAATTTTCTTCAATTTTGGAATTGATCTTTTAATAAACTTTATTGAAGCTGTCAATTTTGATTGATTGGTTTCAACTTTACTATCGACTTAACTCGTGGATTTGATAGATTGCTTCTTTTTTTATTTTGATTACTTCTAGTGTATGGAAAGTGGTTGAAATGGACTGATAATTGTCAAGTGTATGGCCAACTTTAGACGTCATTTACAGCTATATAATAACGGAACCTGTCTGTACAACCACCTTCAAAAATAATAATATAAATAGCTCGCCACCTCCAGGTGAAAGAAGGGGACACTTATTGATGGTGTCACATATTTTGTGAAGTTTTTGTTTCTTAAAGATTATCACCTGGGTAGACACTATTTGAAGTACTGGATTGGACTTCATATATGTGTTCATTAGAGCAATGTATACTGTATGTGTATATATATATATATATATACTGTGTATATATATATAAAAAATTCTATTTATATGCAATGTTTATCTGTTGTGATTTGGAGTAATGCAGGTATTTTTACACTGGAAAAAAGAAGATTGAAAGCATTTTATGCATATATATTAAGGAGTGGACAGTATGAATATTTTGCATATTGATTTATTTTATAATTGCACAAGTTTTGTTTGAAATAGCACAGCACTTATTTTTGATTGTTACCATTCACCGTTATGTAAGAGTTGTAAATTTTTTTGTGCAATGTTATAATGATAGGGTAGCCTGCTGACTTTGAATAATTTTTTAATGAGCTTCAACACAAGGTAAATGTGCCTGTACTTCCTGTGGGAAATACAATGCACAGCTGATAGCCCAGTGCTTTGGTTTTTACAGTATGCAAGCATTATGATGCTATTCAGAATGAATGGCAATGCACTGCAACACACATATACTGCACTTTGTGGTGCACACATGAATGAGTATGCATAGGTGTGAGGTGAGCCCTAAAGCCCTACTTAACTCCACTCCCCACATATTTTATTTTTTTTTCACCCTCTTACCTGTATTGTTGGGTTATATTTAAAATACATATTCACCCACACAGCAGATCCAGCATTGTCCTGTTCAGGTGACGTTGCTTGGGTTCTGTGCTACCCAGGGGCGGACTGATCATTCAAGCACTCGGGCTTTGCCTGAGGGATCGGGGTCAGTAGGGGGCCCCATTAAATGCCCCCTGGTACCTTTTTATAGGCTTTTTTGAGTGTGGGCAAGGACACAGGGGCCCCATGATCCCCTATTGTCCGGAGACCTCATGAGTTGTCAGTCCGCTTATGGTGCTACCACCTTGGTCCTCTTTAGTTGACTGCCTCTTCTAGGTTCAGGTAGCTGGGCTTGCCTTTTGGCTGCTCTGTGTGCCTAGTCCTGCAGCCTCCTAGGAGATGATGATGACATGAGTATTCCAGGAAGCTACAGGACCAGGGATATGTCATTCTGGTCTAGGCCACAATGGGGGCAGAGCCAGAAAAAAAAATATTTGAACAGAAAACCCAGCCCTCGACATATGCATTTGAGGAGAGGGTGGAGGGTTTGAAAAAAAAAAACTTAATTTTTGGAGTTAGGTTTTCCTTTGAACTGATTATTTCACAACTCCACGTTTGCATGTATTCCAGTAAATGCATTTGCTCAGAAACTTCTGAAGAGTAACTGTCTGTTAATGCCATTATATTATTGGCAGAACACATATTGCTGTAATTGTATTGTTGAACAGAAGCAGTTTACGTGTTCTGTTGTCACATGGGTACCCTTTATGCCTATCTATGGCTATGAAATTAGCGTTACTTTTAAACTAAAATTACAGATGTTTTCTTGTTGTTCATAAAGGCCTCCAGGCAGCAACAATATGTACCCTTTGGGAGGAACTGTTCTGCTCATTATTTTTATTAGGTCAGGCCATTGGGGAGAGTGACAGCAACTGAAGCACACTCCGCTGCTTATGGTAGATGTGCTTTGCTGTGGAATTGTGGGTCAGAGATGTATAGTCTGGAAATACAATGCACAGTAACACATTTAAATCATTTCTTCCAATAAAGTATTTTTTGGTAAAGGGATATTTTGTATGTTTTATTCATTTATGGTGTTATGTGCAAAAATTATAATTTAAGTCCACATTCTAACTTGTTACATGAAGTTCCAAAGGTGTGATAATGTCATTTGGTCTGTTTCCAGAACACAGAAATTAGTTATAAAAAATAAACAGTGTTATGCCATCTGAATATTTCTTCTTCAATGTCCAGTACATATGTTTAATGTTGTACCTTTGAACTCGTACATGGATCTAGCTGAGAAATGATATCTATAGTGTACAGTTCGTACTGAAATTAGAGTTATAAAGCCTTACAAGACTAATGTATTTCTACATAAAAGTATTTTAGAATACGCAGGTGTAGGGATCTGCTGCTCTCTACTGTCTGTGTTTGGGAATACCTGTGCTCATAATATTATTATGTAAGCACTTCCTGTCTCTGGAAGGCTGGGTTAAAAATCCCAGAGTTAGGAAGTAGATAGAGTTTGGAGACAACATGCTCACATACAGGTCTTGCGGTATTTTCACCCAGACCAGAAGCAGAAATTATTAGGCAAGTATTCCTATGTTCTGACAGTTTAACCACTTGCCCTCCTGAGGATTCACCCCCCTTCCTGACCAAGCCATTTTTTAATTATGGTGCTTCATTACTTTAACTGCCAATTTCGTGGTTAATTGATTTATGTGAAAGTTAAAGCATTTACAAATGGCGGCATAGATACTGGAATTTTTTTTTCTACTAGCAATGGCGACGATCAGCGACTTATAGCAGGACTGCGGGACTGCGGCAGGCATTCTGACATTGGGGGGAACTGACTTGGTGTCAATGATATCCCCAGTGACACCAATACAGTGATCAGTGCTAAACTGGCACTGTAGTAATGGCACTGGGCAGGAAGGGGTTAACATGAGGGGCGATCAAAGGATTAACTGTGTGATGGGAGTGTTTTACTATGGGGCCTTTTGTTTGTGCTTCACTGTAAGCTCACTGCTTTGTATAGCTGTACTGCGCACAGCCATGCAAAGCAGTGTGCACAAGCTGACAGGGGGGAGAACTGTTTTGTTTACTCCCCGTCGGAGATCCTCGGCAATCGCTGAGCGCCAGCAAGTAATCACTGGCCGGGGCCTGGTGATTGACAGCCGTGGCCGTGAATGGCGGCATGGGTAGGGTGCATGCTAGGCAAAATTACACACACACATATATATATACAGGGGCAGACTGACAACTCATGGGGCCCCCGGGCAATAGGGGATCATGGGGCCCCTGTGTCCTTGCCCAAACTCAAAAAAGCCTATGAAAAAGGTACCAGGGGCATCTCATGGGGCCCTCTACTGACCCCGGCCCTCGGGCAGTGCCCGAGTTTCCAAATGGTCAGTCCACCCCTGTGTGTGTATATATATATATATATATATATGTATATATATATATGTATGAAGGTTGGCAGGATGAAACATGTTGGGTAGTGGCAAACGTGGCAACCAGGAGGCTGAAACCGGAAGTGATGGTCTAGAACAGGCATCACTAAATGGTGGACCGGGGTCCAGATGCGGACCGAGTCACTGTCCCATCCAGACCCATACAGTCCTGCCATTTAAGAGCCTTTTCTTCCCCCAGCTGTCTCACAGTCATCCTCACAGAGCTGACAGCGGGAGGCAGGACAGTTCTGGATGGAGGGTGGGAGTTGCCCGTGGTTAACAAGCAGGTGATTGGTTGCTAGGATGAAGGGCATTCCTAGCAATCAATCACTGTCTGTGTAAGGTAGGACAGTGGCGGGGGGGGGGCAAGTTAAAGGGGCTAAGGACATTAGTGCGAAGGGGGGCCAAGGACTGAATGTGGGGGGGACTGAGGACAGTAATGTGGGGGGCTAAGGACTGTGGTGTGTAGGGGCTGAGGACATTAAAGTGGGAGGGGCTGAGGACAGTATTGTGGGGGCTGAGGAGAGTAACATGGAGGGGGGCAGAGGACAGTAACATGGGGGGGGTCTGGGGACAGTAATTTTGGGGGATGATTTAAAAAGGGGCAGAGTACTCTTCAGTGAAGTTGGCAGAGTGGCAGAGAACAGTACTGTTGAGGGTGGGGGGGGGGGTGATGTCAAGGAAGTGTGAGTTCACTACTGTGAAAGGGATGGAAGGGGGTGATGTGTAAAAAGGGAGCTGCGGACACTCTTCAAGAGGTATCTTTCTGTGAATGAGGAGGGGACTGTGATGCATAGTGGGGATTGAGGACACTGATGTTAGAACAGGTTCTGATCTGTACATGTGCATTTGGTGCACACGTTGTGGATAGGTCAGCAATACCTGCTAGAAACCTGAAGAAGTCCCCGAACCCTTTTTTTCATAAATTGCACTGCAGCACAACACGTGGTTTGGCGCACGTGAAAATGCACCACAGGGGCCAACATGGGATTCGGACCTCTGATGCATGTAAATTTTACTGTCCGGACCTTGGTGAATTTTAATTTAATACCCCTTGTCTAGAGGGTCAATGAGGTCCAGGGAGGGTGAGAGGAGGATGATAGGGCTTTGCCCTATACATGTGATGTCACTATTGACTAGATGAGCATTTTTTTTTCTTGCATTGTGACTGGTATTTTAATTTTATATACAGCTCCTTTTGTTTTTAGTTAACCCTGTCCCTTCTGGTCTGGGATTCTATAGCTAAGTTAAGCCTGGGGCTCAATAACGAGCATAGGCTAGAGCCATTTTAGACATCTGGTAGTCTTTTCTGGTAGTGAGAGGTCCAGTTGCAGGACAGATTAAAAACTAATAGGGACTAAGATGCAGAGTAGATAGGCTGACTCTGAGTTCCAGTGCCACACAATGGCTTCTGTGGGTGAGAATCTGCATTCCAGTCTGGCTGGACAATAGTTGGAAGATCTCCACTTCACTGCTGATCTTGTCTCCAGGTGTCCAACACAAATACAGGCTGTGGTGCAATCAACTTCAGGGGCCCCTGTAAGCTTAGGTTCACACCTTTGCATGTTGTGCATGCTGAGTATGCACAGGCATGGCAGCCCATTCGTCCCATAGTTACAACCACCCACACACAAAATGTGGGACCCACAGGCGGGTGCCATTGATCTTAATGGTATGAAGCCCACCCTGGAAATCACACCACAACCATTTAAAAAAAAAAATCCCCAAAAGCATAATTTATCTGGGGCTCCTCTAGATTTTGTATACTGTTAAGGAATGCCATAATTGAAAAAAGGCTAAGAAATGCTTGTCTAGAGGAACACTTAGGTTTGGGGGAGGTCACATATATTTTGAGATGGAGGAGTGCATCGTTTAATGGTGAACCATAAGTCTGGGGTGCGGAAGGGCTACATCAGAACTGAAAAGGCAACCATAAATTTTAGGCTAGTAGTGGATGGCACATAAAGGGCTCCTTTACACCACAATACAAGCTATAACATACGTTATATATTGTGGTGTACTGGGTTCTTAAAAAACTATGCAGGACCCCCTTTTTGGGGGGAATTAAGGTGTATTGACAACCAATGAAAACTGAATGGACTGTCTAATACAGAGGGTCTCGGCTCACCAAAACACGTCTTGCAGCACACAGCATTGTGGCATGGGCAATAACCGTTAGGTTTTCTGTGCTTCAACATGTACTTTTCAGTCTTGCTGAGTGAACCTGTGTTCACTTCAAAGATAAACAGTAAGACCTTCTCATGTTAATGATTGAAAGTATGGGCAGTTATGGTCTAAATCACTTTCAGAGCACTTCTACATATCTCCCAACCATCCTGGATTCTGCAGGTCCATCCAGGGATCTCATCAAAATCCTGGTATCCTTCAGTCCAGCACTTTGCTTCAATAGTTCATTTCTTGGAGTGCACTAGTGCCAAGGCATCAGTCCCAGACACCACAATTACCTACTCTATGTCATCCAGCATCTCTCCCCATTGGCTGCCTGTTACGAAGATGCATGTCAAAGCTGAGGGAAGCTTCTCTTAGGCTGTTTTGTGGCTCTGACATGTATCATGAAAAACAGGAGGAGGAACCCGAAGCTGCACTGATATGAGGTCTGAAGATTTACCCTGGGGCAATTAAAATTTGTCTGGGATGGAAAATTACACTGGGGGGGGGGGGGGGGGGGGGGCAGTGAACAGGGGGGGGTAGGCAGGTTAGAAAGATTTGTGTTGGGGAAGTGATTTAGGGGGGAAAGGATATGTGCTGGGGGGGGGGGGGGGGGGCAATTTGGGAGGGAAGAGGATTTATGCTA